CCAGGCAAGCCAAGGGAAGGCAGTTTAAACTGCCTTCCCTTCCCTTCAAAGGGGGGCTTGCCCGGGCAAGCCAAGGGAAGGCATGGGGGATGCAGCCTAATATGCTAATGAGCTGTGCTGTCGGGGTGTGGCCCAATAGGCTAATATGTTCCTGCTGTTGGGTGTGGCCTATTATGCTAATGAGTTCCTGCTGGGCTGTTTCTACAAAAAAAAAAGCCCTGGACACAAGGAAATACTTCTTCCCATGGGACAGAGTTAACTTGTGGAACTCGCTGCCACTGGATGTGGCGAGGGCCGCCAACGTGGCTTCTCTTAGGTTCCCGTGTTCAATATCCAGGTGGTGGCTGGAGGCCTCCTGGGATGAGAAGATCCCCAGGTGACGGGGATTGGTTCGGCTGGAGAAAATAGCCACTTTGGAAGGGGCAGTCTATGGCATCGTACCCCACTGAAGCGCCACCCCTCCCCCCAAATCTCCAGGTACTTCTCATCCCAGAGTTCGCAACCCTACATGGCAGAGCAGGGACAGTCGCCTGAGTCTCTAACCACTACACCACGCTGGTCCTTGAGAAGGCCCCGTTCTCGAGAAATATTAGTACAGAGGTTTTCGAGGCTCCCAAGAAAGACCTGCTGAGCGTCTGATAACAGACGGGCCTACCCTTCTTTCTGGGACAGAGCTGAAATTTTTGTTTCTGCTCCTGCGCCTGTGCATGCCTGTCTCCTACGCAGAGGAGTGGAGCCCCTGTAAGAGGGCCTTCTCGAAATAGGCTTTGTCTATGTGAATTCGGTACTCTTGATTCGTTGTCTCATATCATTATAGAGTGTCTCCTCCTTGCTTTATAGCAGTGAAATAAAAAGGTAAAGGTTCCCTTGCTCGGAAGCCAGTCGAGTCCGACTCTAGGGTTGCGGTGCTCATCTCAGTTTCAAAGCCGAAGAGCCAGCGCTGTCCGAAGACGTTTTCCGTGTCATGTGGCCGGCATGACTAAACACCAAGGTGCACGGAACGCTGTTACCTTCCCACCGAAGTGGTCCCTATTTATCTACTGGCAATTTCTTGCTTTCGAACTGCTAGGTTGGCAGGAGCTGGAACTAGAGACGGGAGCTCACTCCGTCATGCGGCACCCGGGTCTTGAACCGCTGAACTACTGACCTTCCACAGCCTGCAGTTCAGCAGTGAAAGACGCCATCTTGTGACTTGACATCTAGAGCACTTGTTTTAGTATTGGCTTCTCTATCTGTATTGTAGTGATCTTATTGATTTTAAACATGTTTTATATTGGTGTATGCCTTTTGTAAGCCGCCCTGAGCCCGCGTAGCTGGGAGGGCGGGGTATAAATTGAATAAAATAAATAAATAAACAAACAAACAATTCCTGTCTAAATACCGCCAGCACAGTGTCTTTGTTAAGGAAAACAGTTCATCTTTTAGAAGATGTCAAACCCTCAAATCCCTATCAGTTTGGTGTAGTGGTTAAGTGCGCGGATACTAATCTGGGAGAACCGGGTTTGATTCCCCACTCCTCCACTTGCACCTGGCTGGATGACCTTGGGCAAGCCATAGCTCTGGCACAGCTGTCCTTGAAAAAGAGCAGTTTGTGTCAGAGCTCTCTCAGCCCCACCTACCTCACAGGCGGTGTTCCCTCTAAGCTGAGTTTGGGGTAGTGGTTAAGTGTGCGGACTCTAATCTGGGAGAACCGGGTTTGATTCCCCACTCCTCCACTTGCACCTGCTGGATGACCTTGGGCAAGCCACAGTTCTGGCACAGCTGTTCTTGAAAAAGAGCAGTTTCTGTCAGAGCTCTCTCAGCCCCACCTGAAAGGGGAAGGGAAAGGAGTTTGTAAGCTGCTCTGAGACTCCCTTGGGTAGTGAAGGGTGGGGTATAAATCCAATCTCTTCTTCTTCTTCTACATGTGTTGCCAAATTTTTTAGCAGAAGCTATACAATTAAGTCCAAATACATCACTATATCTTAATTGTTGGACGCCTATTTTTCCTATTTGTTTCTGATGATTTATTGATTTAAATACATACTTGATCTGTGCTATTGGTCACTATCTTAATTAATTGTTCTGCGTCTCCGTTCTTATAATCTCTCAGACCTTTGTACTTATTCTTGATTGCAATTTATCAGCCTCTTTTATGCCCATAAAGGTAAAAAATGAGAGCCAGTTTGGTGTAGTGGTTAAGAGCGTGGTCTCTCATCTGGGAGAACTGGGTTTGATTCCCCACTCCTGCACATGCAGCTGCTGGAGTGACCTTGGGTCAGTCACA